ACTTTCATCTTTTGGACACGCGCAATCTTGACTGGTCAACACTCAGCCCCATACAATATCGTAGGTCTGACCACCACTCTATAGAACTTACCCTTAAGTTTCGGTGGTACCTTCTTGTCATACAAAATACAGAAAGCGAGTCTCCATTTCATCCATCCAGCCCCAATACGATGTGTGACATCTTCATCAATCTCCCCATCCCCCTGAATAATAGACTCAAGGTACTTAAAACTCCCTCTCCTAGGATGACCTGCGATTCCAGCCACGCCTCTCATTCCCCTCCTTGAGTCTTGCCACTGAACTTACACTTCAAGTATTTTGTCTTGGTCCTGCTCAACTTGAAACTTTTAGATTCCAGGATCTGCCTCCATACCTCTAATTGCGCATTCACACCGTCTCGCGTCTCGTCAATAAATACAATATTATCTACAAATAGCATATACCATGACACCTCCCCTTGGATGTGGTGCGTCAGTACGTCCATCACCATAGAAAATAAAAAATGGCTGAGTGTTAACCCTTGATGCAACCCCATCATAACCAGAAAATGGTCTGAGTCCCCACCCACCATCCTAACTCGGGTCTTTACCCCCATCATACATGTCCTTAATCAACCTAACGTAGGTAACATGTACATTTCTAGCCTCCAAATATCTCCACAAAACCTCTCTCAGAACTTTATCGTACGCATTTTCTAAGTCGATGAACACCAAATGCAAGTCCTTTCTCTCCCTATACTGCTCCATCAATCTCCTAACAAGGTGGATAGCTTCTATAGTCGAACGCCCCGGCATAAAACTAAACTGGTTCTCGAAAATATACATACTCCTCCTCACCCTTAGCTCTACCACTCTCTCCCAGACTTTCATAGTATGGCTAAGCAGCTTGATACCCCGATAGTTATTGCAATTTTGGATATCACCCTTGTTCTTGTATACAGGAACCACCGTGCTCCACCTCCACTCTTCGGGCATCTTTTTTGTTCTAAAAATAACATTAAGTAACCGAGTGAGCAACTCCAAGCCTGCCTTGTCCGCACTCTTCCAAAACTTCACCAGGATTTCATCCGGCCCGGTCGCTTTGCTCCTGCTCATCTTACGCATAGTCCCCTCAACTTCATCCACTCTAATCCGCCTACAATACCCAAAGTCACAACGGCTCTCGGAGAGTTCCAAATCACCCAGTACAATGCTCATGCCCCCCTTCTCGTTCAAGAGACTATGGAAGTAGGTCTGCCATCTCCGACGTAAAATCTGTAGATGGTACATGTGTTATTATTTGCCTTTATAGGGATGGCATGCTTATTTTTAGTTCTAGTCTTGATTTGGTACATAAAACCATTTTTTTCTTGTCTTCTAATTTTGAGATGAAAGACGTGGGAGAAGATAGTGTTATTTTAGGCATGAAATTATAAGAGAGTAATAGCTTGATGTTAACTCAAGAACATTATGTTGAAAGAATTCTTAATTTGATAATTTTGATGTGGTACCTGTAATCACTCCTTATGATACTAGTAGTCAATTAAAAAAGTAAAAGAGAGATGTTGTAAATCAAAATAAATATGCTCAAATTATTGGTAGCCTAATGCATTTGATGAATTTTACTAGACCAGATATTGCATATGTTGTGTGTAGATTGAGTAGATATACTCAAAATCCGAGTCATGATCATTGGAATGCATTAGTAAGAGTAATGAAATGTTTGAGAGGTACCATGAACTATGGTATCAAATATAGTGGATTTTTCACTGTATTAGAAGGATACAATGATGCTAACTGGATCTCTGATTCATATGAGATAAAATCCATTTGTGGTTATGTATTCACCCTTGGTGGGGTGTTGTGGCATGGAAATCAGCTAAACGAATAATAATCGCTAGATCTAACAAGGAATCTAAGTTTGTGGCATTGGAATTGGCTGGTAATGAGGCCGAGTGGTTAAAGAACCTTTTGGCAAGTATAGCCATTGCTAAAAATAAATCCTTCAATGGGAAGATTAGACACATTCGATTGAGACATAATGTGATAAAGCATCTGCTGAGAGATAGAATTATTTTCATAAATTATGTGAAGTCAGAAATGAATTTGGTAGATCCTCTGACTAAACCTTTGGGAAGAAAATAATATCTGAAATATCGAGGGGTATGGGACTGTTGTCAATTTGAGTTATATCAACAATGATGGTAACCCAACCTATGTGATTGGAGATCCCATGAAGTAGGTTCATATGGGTAATAACTAATCATTAGTTGATTAAATATGCACTATTAAATTATGTCCCTTCCAATGGTGTGTGTATATAGTGCTAGATTGTAAGGAATGAGAGGCTGAGTTATTAAACTCTTAATCCAATAATCCATAACCTTTTATAGGTAGTGTATTGCACTGCAGAATATACTTGATGGATGAACCTATATGAGTGTGGAGTGGGGCCGCTCCTATGAAATTTATGGCAAAAGTTTTCTAGAGCATTCATGAACACTAGGCGCGCGCATGGCCTATTAGCGCAAAACCGCGACAAACAACAAAGTGTGTGCGGGTATAATGTGATAGATAAGACACTAAACTTAGAAAAGAATTCTTGGTTCATAGAAGTTCTAAACTTCACTAATTGTTCTGTAAGTTTAATCTTATTTTATCTAGGTATTCGTTCATAATCCAAGAGACACCAACTTCGACGCATTATGCTCATTTGTAAAAACCCAGCAAATTGTTTTTCACTATTTTTTAAATATTATTTTTGAGATATGTGGGGGATTGATAGGAAAATAGTTTTGATATCTTAAAAAGAAATATTACAAAACTATGTCTAGATTCATTTTCGTACTATTATATTAATGAATCTTTATTATAGTAATTATTTTAAATATTCTTGTAACAGAAAATTAGTTTAATTTTGAATTCAGTTGGGACAAAATAAATCTGACAATTAAATGCTTATTAGTATGGATTTGAACGTTAGTATTGAAAAGTCAATAGACCAATCCTAATGGCTTAAAATTTAACGTATTGTATCTTGGAAAAGCCTTTATGGCTTGGACGTTTCTGATCAGATTGTCTATTTTCTTTTTAGACTATATATATACCTCTTTGTTTTCGTCTTGGAAGAAGGTGAAAAAGTAAAAACTTTTCTTCTATTGTGTTGAGGTGTCTTTGTTAATTTTTGTTGTTTCTACTCCTAATTTATACTAGAAAACTTTGTTGAATTCGGGGAATACGCCTAATTTTATTTAACACAGTATGCGCAATATCCTTAAAAATAGTGTACTTGACACGCCTCAAGCTAAATCTTATTTTTCATAATCCATTATTTTACACATCTACTACTTATGGACCAAACGGCGTTCAACTGAAATGTTCTTGTGTAGCTGAAATTATTTCTGTATTTGTTTTCTTGCTTCTGCTTCTCTATTAGTGATAGAGGTTGATTCAGGATTTAAATTTAATGTGCTTAGATTTTAAGATTTTTAACATTGCATCTGTTAAACTTATGAGTTCAAATTTAATATTTTTTAAAATTTTAGTAGGTTTTTATATATAAATTCATATTTCATGTTATGGATTCAGTTAAATTCGTAGCAGAAAGGCTATAGCCGTCCCTGATTAATGGTGTTGATCTTGCTAATGAACATCTATTTATCGAATACTGGTGTTGATCTTGCTAATGAACATCTATTTATCGAATACTTATTATTATCTATTGATAGATGGGGTAACGAAGAGGAAATTACATGATATATAGAGAGTTACAGTAACGACTAGTCTTGGTTACTAATATCGAAATTTTCGACAATATGAAAACTGATAAACTAGTCTTTTTTATTATTATTATTTAATTCCAAATTGAATAATTCGGATAACATGGACTGTGTTCGAATATGTGATAAAACGTGAAAATAGCACGGACTAGTCAGTTTTCGGACTGGTAATTGAAAAATAGCCAGTGTTTGCAAAATTATTAAAAAATAGTCACCATTTTGTTGCAACACGGAAAGTTCCAGCATAATATACTGGAGATTGGTGCACATGTGTATGAACTTCCAGCATATTATGCTGGAACTACAACACACGGAGAGTTTCAGCATAATATACTTAAGATTAGAGCACATGTGTATAAACTTCCAACATATTATGCTGGACCAGTATATTATGCTAGAAGTTCACATGTAAAAAAAATTGAACTTCAGTATATTATACTGGAATATTTTTCGGATTTTGAACAATATTTTCGTTCAGATTTATCTTTACATGAAAAGTGACTAAATCTCGATTACTTTTAAAATTGTGGCTATTTTACAATTACCACTTGTAAATCTGACTATTTTTGAATTTCACCGGACAAAACTGAACTTTTCTTTTGCTTGACTAGGAAAAGTTCTATCAAATCCAATGTCCTTGCCATTCCAAACAATTTTATTTTAATTGTTGCTAGCTTACTTTAGATTTGTCAAATCGATTGGTGCATTATTCTGCATAACAAAGTAGTACTATTTTCTATGACAAACTATTGCAAGGACTAAGGTTAGTAGCCAAGACATGATCAGGGGCTATAATTATTTGTTCCAACGACTAAGTTCCATATGTTCTTTAGCACGTTATTAGGTGCACCAAAATCAATCAAGCCTAGATAGTTAAAAGTAGACTGATCTATCTAAGTTTCCATATTACAAAATATTCAATGTAAAATTAATGTAGCCTATTTCAAGTATGTATCACATTTTTAAGAGCCTTGTTCAATGGAAATTTACAAATTTTACATTTTTTTATTTTATTTAACAGATAAAAAAATAAGACAAACATTGATATTTGTGTTGCTAGGAGTTAGCGGATACCCTACTTTGCAAATCCCGGTGATCGAAGCTATTCCCACGACATACGTTTTCTTCTTTCGATGGTATTTTTCACTGTACTATTATCTATATATGTAAAGTAAGTAAGCAACTAATACCTGCATTACGTTATTAGGATATAAAGCTAGAGGAATTTACGAGAATAAAAGATATGGAACCAAAAACTGAGAAACTGAAGCTTCTTGCAGTATTGTTTGTTGTGGTGTTTCTCGCTGCAGGCTTTCACATTTCCTCAAGAATTGCTCTAAATATTGGTGTCAGCAAAATTGTGTACTTAGTTTATAGAAATATCACTGCTTTACTTTTTTTAGGACCTTTTGCTTATTTTCTGGAAAAGTGAGTACTAATTTCCATTCCACACCTACGAATGTGTTTTCCTTTTTGTTTGGTATTTAACTTTCTGCTTTTGCATTCTTGTTTATACAGGAAGGAAAGACCACCCCTCACATTCTCCCTATTGTTTAAGTTTTTCCTCGGATTTTTGGGGTAAGCAAGTAGAGCATCAAAATTTAACCACGCGCATAATTTATCTTTGTTTTTGTTCCGAAGAAAAGTTTTGACTATTTGTTGATTTGCGAGTGTCATCCTTGTCTAGAACTCATGCTAATCTTCTCTGTCTCGTTCCAATTTTATTTACTGCTTGTCTTGAGGGACCACATATTTCTGTAATTATGCCCTTCAATTCGCTCTAATGACAATGTTACATTTCTTGCTTCACACAGAATCACAGCAAACCAAGGACTTTATATCTTAGGGATGTATTGTACATCACCTACCTTTGGATCAGCTATACATAACTCAATTCCTGATTGTGAGACTACACTGTACTTGTTGTTATTACCACATAGCTGCCCGACATAACTTTACTAGAGTAAATGACCATTTATGAGTTTTAGTCATGTCACAACATTTACTTTGGATCCAATGTAGAATTTTTTGTCTTGCCGAGATTTATATGCCAGTAGAAGATCAAGAGAATTTCTGGTGTTAGAGAAGTTTTGTTTCCTTTTATCAAATTTTATTTTATCCTAATATTGGACAAAGATGAGCCTAAATGGAGTGACAACTTGGAATTATGGTATAGTTGTTTTTGTTGTTGTATTTGTGTCTCATGAGACTTGGTAAAATATGCACCAGCTCCTAGTTATAGCAGTTTTTACAGAAAGGGACACGATTCAGTTTGCTGAGGTGGTTTTTATGATTCTATATGCTGAAAGATCCCTAAAACTGAAATCATCCACTATATTTGTACTTGACTTAAGATGGCACCAATGAGCTAATCTTTTGAGTACTCAAACCGTGATATTGTATTAGGGTATTGCCAATTCCGGAATTGTATATTTTCTCATGACTTGGTGCATTCAGAAAGGAGGGCCAGTTTTTGCTGCCACTTACCTGCCTGTGCAAATAATTTTAGTTGCTGTCATGGCCTTTGTGTTTCTTGGTGATCAGTTGTACTCAGGCGTGTAAGTCAGATATAAATGGGAAAAGAATAATCAACATATGTTATGATTCTTGATCAATTTCAAGGGGCACTCATGATTAATTGTATGCAGGGTATTTGGGGGGATTCTGATTGCGGCAGGGCTTTACCTAGTCTTATGGGGTAAAACAGAAGGGGAAAAAATTGCAAGGGACTTTGATCACCTTTATTGTAAGCAACATAAACAATGAGACTAAGAAAGCTTCTGAATGTTAAACATACCCAATTTAGAGATATAGACTATCTTTTCTGCACACAAAAAAGTTGAGGATATAGTTTAATTTTCAGTCGACACTCTGCCATAAGGACTAAGGTTGACATGTCAATCAGAAGTTACAAAATAAGGAGGAACACCGAGAAGGATTCCTAAGTCAAACAACAACAACAATAACAAATTCAGTGTAGTCTCACAAGTGGGGTCTGGGGAGGGTAGTGTACGCAGACCTTATTCCTGTCTTGTGAAAGTAGAGAGGTTGTTTCCGATAGACTGAGAAGGATTGTTGACTCATATATAGCAATTACGGATACCTTCTGATCAGAATTCAGAGGCATAGGTTGAAATCAAAAGCTGCACTTCCAGTAGCTACTCCCCACTTTATTTTATGAAAAGGAAATATATTACTAGTATACTGAGTACTAGTTAAGCATATAGTTGTAGGAATTAGTCTTGTCTTACAAATTTTCATACTAAGTACTACACTTGCAAGGTTCATGCCAAAATACATTGACTTTTGTTTTCAAACTAAAAAAGAAAAGAAATGAAATGAAGAATGTATCTGAATATACATGTTGTTAAGCTGGCAGCCTTGTCCCAAACCAGCCGTACAGACGAACTGTCCTAACATATTAATTTAGTAGATGAATTGTTATTAGACCTGAACTGTAATAGGGCATTCCTCTGTGTTTTCTTGATCAACAAGATGTTTTCTCAATGTTGCTCCTTCTTTATCTTGGTTCACAATTTTTTCCTCTTCAGTTTTACCCCATAAGACTAGGTAAAGCCCTGCCGCAACCAGAATCCCCCCAAATAGCCTGCATACGATTAATTGTCAATAATTCACTTTTAATCCAAAACACGAATGCCTGCTGAAATTTATCAAGAATCATAACATATGGCGATTATTCTTTTCCCATTTATGGACTTACCCGCCTGAATACAACTGATCACCAAGAAATACAAAGGCCATGACAGCAACTACTACTGTTTGCAGAGGCTGGAACGTGGCGGTCAACACTGGCCCTCCTTTCTGAATGCACCAAGTCACGAGAGAATATACAACTCCAGAATTTATGATACCCTGTAATGCAATGTTTGACTCAACATACTAATTAGGTCATTGGTGCAAAAACTAAAAGGATAGAGGATGATTTTAGTTTTAGGGGTCTTACAACATAAAGAATCGTCAAAACCTCCTCACCAGACTGAATTCGCCAGTTTCTTGGATCCCTTTCTGTAAAAGCAGTTACAACTAGGAGCTGGATTACTCCAAAGAAGCATGTAAATGAGATAAGTGACAGTTTCGCGGGGTAACTTTTCATCATAGGAACCTGCATATTTTACCACGTCTCATGAGACGCTAATTGATGGTGTGTGTATATACATAGAGGTATTAACTCTGATATAATTAAGTAGTAAACGAAAGTGGACCTTCTCTGACAGTTCAAGTTTTTAGATGAGTTGGTCGCACCATTCAAGTAGAGTTATGTCTACAAAAACTATGTGTTAACTGCTAATTCCTATTTCTTTTACAACAATGCAAGATCTTGAGAGCTACCTGAAGCACCATCCAACTAGCATATGATAAGCACTGAGCAATAATGTAAACACAACCCCATGTCCTATTCAGCATTTTCTCTGGAGAAGTAAAAGTTACATCCGAAGAAAAGCCGCTTCCTCTTAGAAGGGGAGGGCCTTTGTATAGAGCGATTATTGTGGCACCTCCAACACTTGCTATGGTTCCCATAATTTTTGCCATGCCATCCCTCCTCTTAATATGCACTTCTTCTAACCTGAGGTACATATACAGGCATATACTTTACGTATACTGATGAATTAATTAGTATGAAATAGTAAAAAATGAACCAATACAACCATCTAATTAGATAGTACGGTGTACGTGCTATTTCATAAACAGCTATGATCTTATACCTTAAAACAGAAGCCATGACAAAAGTAATTGCAGGAACTGAGTTTTGTATAGCTGATGCATAGGTAGGTGATGTATAATACAACCCTAAGATATAAAGTGATTGGTTTGCTGTGACTCTGTGAACCAGGAAACAAAACTTTGTCATTAGAGCGAATGGAAAGTAATAAAAGCTAGTACTAATATTTAAAATTTCTTTAAGAAAATTTGTCAGTAAAAGAGAAATTATACTCTACTTGCTTACCCTATTAAACCGAGGAGGAAAAACTGAACCAACAGGGAAAATGTGAGGGGTGGTCTATCCTTCCTGTATAAACGAGAACACAAGAACTTAAAGTTATACATCTCAACCAAATCAAGAAAGGAAAATAACAACACGTTCATAGTTGTGGCTGGAAATTAAGTATCATTACTCACTTTTCTAAAAAATAAGCAAAAGGTCCTAAAAGAAGTAAAGCAGTGATGTTTCTGTAAAGTATAAAAACAAGTTTGCTGACACCAATATTGAGAGCAATTCTTGAGACAATATGAAATCCTGCAGAGCAGAAAACCATGACAAACAACGCTGCAACAAGCTTCAGTTTTCCAGGTGTAAATTCCATATCTTTGGTTCTTGTAATTACTTCCTCTAGCTTTATATCTTCAAATACGGGATAAGTAGCTTACTCTGTATTCATATACACTGTACACAATATTGAAAGATGTCATTTTCTGGAAAAAGACAATATGCACTCTGAGTGGACGAGTGGAGGAGAAATTTTTGCTATTTTCTCAATGGTACCTGATCATTTTCTATAAGCACACGAGTTTCTTCTTGTTGAAAACACATTGAAACAGACAGCAGAAGCAGTGAGAAGTGAGAAGTATCACAGACAGTGTAAAAAAAATAGTTTATGAGCAAAAATAGAGGGTGAGAGCGGCAGTACCGTGGGGTGAAAAAATCAAAAGAGGTTCTTTTTCTTGAGTGTGTAGTGGTCTCTTAAGTATTTTACTCCGGACTATCATGTATAAAATTCCTTACTATAATGGATTATTTTGCTCCTCACGACCCGTATGTTTTTTTCTTATTTAGAAGAGTTTCCAAGTTTATATCTTAGTGTTATTATTACTTTTTCAATTTTTGTTGATTACCGTGTCCTGGTGCTCGTTATTACTTTTACTACATACCATAAATATTATTTATGTGTGCTATTTTTTCCAACAACTGATATTAGAGCATAGTTTTTGCTTATTCATAGAAATATTTTTTTTGCGGCCAGTCATACTACATTCGGGTGAGAAAAAAATATCTCGAATAAAGTACTAGGTTTTGCATAACATGATTGGAAATGGAAGCTAAACTAGATTTTACAAGTGTGGTCCTACCAGCAATTTTTAGGAATTCAGTTTCCATCCTTTGAGTTTATTATTAACTTTTTTGTCTAATAAGCTATTAGGAATTTTGTTAGTTAAACGCCATAAACTCCCAAAACACAGTATCAGACATCATCGGTCTATACTTCATTGAAATTGGATTTGTTTCACTGCACTTGCATTGCAGGTTCAAGCCAAGATACGTTGACTTTTATTTTAAAAATAAAAAAAGAAACAATATAATAGAAGAATGTTCAGGATAAATAACTAAACATTGACATGTTGTTATGCTGGCAGTCTTGTTCCAGACATGAACATCGTCCGGACAGATTATTTTATCAGATGAATTGTAAAGGCGCGAGCATGGATGAACCAAATTTCTAACAGAGGACAAAGTTAAAACCTATTCATAAATTAGCAAAGTAAACAAGCTCCTCAGCCAACTGCATCATGTAGATGGAACCATTTCGGGCAATTTGTTCTGAAGGATGCAGTTGAACCACAGGGTTGTGGAGGGATGGATAGAATTCCTCCACCCTTAACCAGAAGTCTCGGGTTCGAGTCCAGTAAATGGAAAGAATTTTAGCAGGTAGCGCTTCCCCTTTAATGGACCTTACGTGGCGAAAATATGGATTAATCGGGGCCACAATGCGTGTACCGGACACCGGGTATATAGGAAACAAAAAAATGCAATTGAACTACAGCAAAATGGTTAATAAATGATTCTATTCAAGTTAATGCATCTGATAAAATATCATAGACAATCTGATTGTTATTTTTCACGTTCAAGTCGTCATAGGATCATGGCAAGCAACGCAAGCTGAAGGAGAGGCAAAATAAAAAACTATAGAGTCAGTACAGGAATTGTTTGCATTTATCGAGGAGCAGATTCGAGGGACGAAATTTTTTGACGGGGAGCAGATAGGCTACCTGGATTTAGTGATGGGTTGGAAATCTCTTTGGCTCAGTGAAATGGAGGAAGTAGGAGAGATGAAGCTATTGTTACCACTTTTCTCTCTCATGTTTTAAGGTAAATTGAGCTTTATTCTGATGGTTTTATATTGATGTTACACTGACATTTATGTAAAGAGTCTCTCCTATTTGCCATATCAAGAGCAGATGATATGTGAACCAAGATGAAATCGAGGCCACCAACAATCTCGATAGTAAAAACATCATCAATAACACCTCTGAATCATTTGATTCTGCTACAGTTACAGTATTATATCTACAAGCCAAGAATATCTGCAAATAAAAAGCTAATTCTATACCCTTGTAATCTAGTTTCCAGAGACTTCTTCATTCTCAGAATAAGATCTACTAAACATAAGTGGAAAAAACTGAAACGGTGAAGGAGAAGAAGGCTTTCTATAAACATTGACAAATTTCTCTCCTAATTCCTTTACATATAGCTTATACTTCACAATTTCATCAGCATAGTATTTCGATCCAATGTCATGTGCATTGAGAAAGTCAAACTATACATACATACATACAAAAGCTTTTAGGAATAGCCAACACGTCGACAACGAACCCAGAAAGCTGTCCCTCCACTCCGTCCTCGAGCAACAGCTATTTCCTCGTCAATGTAAAACCAGATGAAAAATGGATCCTTATCCTTATTGCTCGGCTCTCTTTCATCCTTTCCCTTAATACTGATATCAAAGGGATTCAATGGTCCAACTTTTATCCGAAGCTGCTCAAATACGAAAGCAAGTATCCTATTCTTCCATGAAAACCTCCCTTCAAATGCCAAGAATCCAAGAGGCCCCAAGAAAACACCATTTTCGATCCTCTTTGCCTAAAATTTTGTTCAAACATGTTATTCCTCTTGTGATTGAAAGAAGAAAGCATATATACTCTATTGAAATTGGAGTTCTTCATCTAAACAACTAAAGAAAACAGACATTTTAAAGAGAGAATTAAGGTTGCTTATACAGCACCATTAAATATTATGAATAGCATTGGGTATGCAATTGTTCTCCTTTATCTTCTTCTTTTTTCCTTCTCTTTGTAGTCTTTTCAGTTATTGAGCATGGAAGTGTTCTCTATCATTTTCTTTTGTAGAAAATCCCTAGTATAACAAATTGTACACCGGATATACAAATCAGAAATGGGAAAATTGGTTAACAAAATAGGTTTATGAGATTAAATTATTTGATTTTATCTCATCTAACAGTTTACATGATAAGAAACAAAAGTATCTATTATTGAAGTTGATCGCTGTAGCACCCCCGCTCTCAACCATGTGATAAGTCATTTGATCTAATCATCTCTTCCATAGTAAATGCTTAAGTTATACAAAGATAAGAATCTCTTTATTTGGAAGCTTTCATAAATGAAAGTGTAATTCTGATCTATACCGACCATTACATGACACAAGAACAGGAAGAAAAAGAAAAAGCAACAACGTTATATCACCCCCTTAAGAGTAGAATTTAGCTCTTCTTCAAAAGGTCATATGAATCCTTACACTAAATCGTCATTTGAACATTTTCAGATGTAATATTCTCTTGTTTTACCTTCAACATTAAGAAAACATTAAAAGACAGATAACAGAAGAGAAGAAGTAAAGCTTACAGCTGCATCAAATCTCTGAACGGCTGTAATTGGGAAATATCTACCTCGTTCTAAACCTTTCTGCAATAATAATAAGGCTTCGACATTACAATGAAATATTTTGGACAATATATATAGGTAACATAAAGAAACACAAAAAGAAAAGGAAACAAAATGCATTTACAAACCTCAGCAGTAAAAATGAGCATCCACGTCCTCCCAGGAGATTTGGTTCCACCAAGAGTTTCAAGAAACTTTGAAGAATCGATTTTTGCTTTCTCAATCACAGAGAAAGCAGCCATTATCTCCTTTGCTGCAACCTTTCTTGTTTTGGCTGCATTTTTCAGTACTCTTACGCTCTCTTCAACTTCCTAAATAAAATTTTAATTCATACAACCAGTAGGAAAACCAAAAGTAAGTGCCCAGTAAGATTTATTATCCAAATTGCCCATAGAAACTCAGTTAATAAATTAGAATATACTAATCAGCAAAAGGTTGTTCTTAAAAAAGGAGCTTTAGCATATTAATTAAGCTAAAAAAAAGTAACAGCTACTGTATACTCGTTTTGAAATGGTCTTAAATGGTCTTATATATATCATAACATTTGTGTCACTATAAAACTTATCAGGAAAAAAAAAAGTTTTATAGTAAATTGTTTCTGAATGTAGCAACCTTTAGTTTCAAATAATTGTTACAGAGGGAGTAATTTTTTCAGAACAAACATATATTACTGAGTTCAAATCCTTTTAGTAAAGGAATACTCGGCACCCACTGGCTTAAAATCTTAAATTAAAAGTATAAAAGAAAATGAGAAAGGTACCTGGTTGGGTTGTTTGTTTTCCTTTTCTTGAATAAGAATGGAAGCTTGAGAATTTTGGTCCTTTTCGTCAAAGGTTGCTCTGGTTTTAAAAGCTGAGAATCTCAGAGAAGTTTGTAACTTTGAGTGATTAAAAGGGACTCCGAAACTGCAGTTGAGAGAAACTTGAGAAGGACAGAAAATCCCCCAACTCAACGGGATGGAAGAAAAGAGCAGCAGCATCTCATAAGTGGCTGTAGTTAGTCCCCCACTTTTGGTTTCTGATTATATACCTACTGTTATTGCAATCTATACGCGCTTCTTTTTGGTCCTTTTGTTTTTTCCCTTTTACACAACAACAACAACAACGATCTAGTGTATTGACAACCCATTATATTTTCATAAGTAGGATCTGTGATGAGTATTATGTGTGCAACCTTATCTCTACCTAGTGTCGCGCCATATTTTTTTCTCGCGAAATCGGGTTTCGATATGTGACAACTCTTTTAAGGAGATATTAAAAGAGGAGAATCGTCACCTAACGGTTTAAGGTGTGTTAGGGCACCTATTATGCAAATAACTCTGTTTGACTAGTCAACACTGCTAAAGATCGGGTAAGGGCTCAAATTAACTCAAAGAGGAGGTGTTAGGCACTCTTCGAGGTCCACAACTGTGGGTCCCGGCCGAACTTAAGACTATGTGGATTATTAAATGATTAAGCTATGTGATCAAATAAACAAAGGGAGTTCAGAAGTCACAGAACTTTATTACCTCATGATTAATACATATCTTAGTGCGAACATGGGGATACAACTATTTAGATCCAATAACAACATATAAAGAGAC